GCGATTCGAAGTTGTTAGTGTAACGATTAGTAATTATACTATGGTGTACGTTCGTTTGTTCGGTTGAGTTATGCTCACGCATTTCCCATTTCATTTGAATTTTTTTTTGATTTTCGGACTGTTTCGCGAAGTCTAATCTTATTGTTAAATCTGTGCTTCCTTTTGTTAGTTGGCGAAAAAAAATCAAGTATCATGTTCCAGATGCACGTTTTCTCTTGCTGTGTACCGTATTTCGACAATTGTTTGGAATGTATACAAGGACCGTCTTTCTCAGCCACGGCTTCTTACTCACAATTGTCAGTACCGTTGACGCCTTCGAATCGTCTCGATGTTACTAAAAGTGGTGAGTGCACTGCTCGAAATACTGCAACTTACAAGGGGTCATTCAGATCGTGGAACCCATTTTCATAGCAGTTTGCTGCTTGTTATAGATGTTTATGCGGAAAATACTGAGATGTTGCTCAGGTTCGCTGCACGCTTCTGCGAAGGCCAAAGAAAAGGCCTTCGCAGAATAGGTTGATGGTTTGTATCTCCTAGGTTACAAAATTTGCATTCCAGCAGTTTTTTTTTTAATGTCGGAATCTTTTGTCTTAACAAAGCGAAACCAAAAAACCGGAATCGTTTTTTTCAGAAACCGGAGAGCCGTTGAAATCGTAGTAGACGCACAGAACCATTTCGCGCTTTTTGGCATTCCCAGAAGCGCGCATTCGGAAATGAACTACACTCTACTTGTCCCCGCTTGATCCTCTACATCATGCAACAAACTGTTCCGAAAGTGGATTCACGACATGAAATTCCTTTCCTGGTCGGTGCCAGAAAAATAGGGTCGTTGAGCAGATTTTTTTGGGTTCCCTCATCTCGGTATGCGCTGAAGTCAGCAACTCGGTACGGTCGTATCCCAATGTAGAGATCGGCTTAGTTCTATTCCCTCTACCTCCTTAATAGCCTGTCATTTAGTGGCCTTTAAAAGAAAGTGTCTGAACGCAGCACGATGGATGGATGTGGCATGGGCCAGCATTTGCAGAGCACACACAAGCTCACCTAAGCTCCGCCCACAATGGGCGGGGCGTTCGCCGAAGTGGACGAAGCCGAGGATAAAAATCCTCAAAACGCATCCGGAGCAACCCAGGAAATGGGGACTATGACTGAAACTGAGCAACGGGTTGGCAGATGAAGTGAGGGAGAGACACCCTTAGGGGTATGTTGTGTACTGTTGGTGCGGTTGGGGGCCGTCTTCGATAATTCATTTTGCGAATAGAATACTCAACAATAAGGAGGGTGCCCTACGGAAATTTCGACGACTGTCTTTCAAGGGGGGAGGGGTATATATAAAGATTGAAAGTCGGGCGATCCAACTGGCCCTCATTTCAAAGTCTGGTGGCATGCCCACTTCACAAGCGGAAGGAGAATCGCCCGGCGAAGCCGAGTGATCCGATTGGTGTTATTTCGTGAGGCTAAAATCGGCTCCGCAAGGTAGCATAGTTTCTGCAGCATTGCATAGGTAGTAAGGCCCGCCTCGCCACACAGTAGATGTCACGCTGTGTTTTTTCGATCCTTTTCATGCCTCATAATAGCTCTTTTATACGATGTGTCGGTTTGAGCCAAACATCGTTTGGTGCACGCTTGGAAAGGGAGTTCTAATCCATACTCACAGCGTTCTGGAGATTACTCAGAAAAAGCTCGTCGGGGCTTTATTGTGTATGTGAATTTGCGTTTGAGTATTAGTGCAGGAGAGACAAATGCGATCAAATTTCGGGAATTGACGGATTGTTATCCCACACACAGAAAAGTCTACCAGTCGCAGAGAATGCCGTCTTCAATTACAAAATGAAATACGAAAACAAACTGAATAAATTGTTCATCTGATGAAGTTTTTTTCTTCAGGAAAGGATGTCGTCATTCTCAAAGAAGGAGAACGAATCTGTGGTACTGGTGGTGCTTTAGGAACATTACCTATTGTACAGAATAAAGCGTACTTCCAAGTCAATATACAACAAAACGGTGAGTGGTTCTTGTCTACTAGTTCAAATTCGCTCGTTGTTCTGACCTTTTTTTCATTTTTTTCCTCAATTTCATTAGAATTTTCTCACTTATTCTATTTTTTGCTTTTATTCGTCCCGTTTAGGTGCTTTTGGAATAGGACTCGGTAACTCTCATGCACCTCTTGATACAGTGCCAGTCTCAAGTAACTTCTGGGGAATTCGAGACAATGGTGATGTAGTGGCAAACGACACGGTTATAGCCAAACTTACCAAGCCTGTCTCCGAGGGAGACTGCATTGTGAGTGTTGACTCGTTTTACTGTCTACTGAGTCCATTTATTTCTGATCTTTCCTGTATGCAAGTGTTGCCGACGATACATTAAGAAAGCACTCGCATTATGTTCTCTGATCTTTGGAGTCAGTATAAAATTTGATGTTCAGGGAGTGTGCTTTGACCATGTCGAATTGAAGTTCCTGTTGAATGGTGAGCCGTTAGAGCCAAGCATAACCGGTGTCAAGGGACCGGTGAGTCATAACTGCCGATCACTGGTATTTTCATCCGTTATAATCGATGAAAATCACTTTTTACATTAATGAGCTTTTGAGGCGGAGGTGGTGCAGTGACATGTGGTGCGCTTACCACTTGCGCGGTCCCGGGTCGACTCCCGCCCAGGCCAACCAAGCCTTCTACCCTCCGGGGACGGTAAATTGGTACCAGATTCGTCTGGGAGGATAAAACACTGACTTGTACATCGGCTGGCCCCCGCAAGTCATTGTATAGGCCACATCGCATTCAATAAGCCACTACGATTCTGAATGGAAGTAGAATGCGTGCCGCATCCCACAAAGGGATTGATTAACGGCGAAGACTTTATCCTTTATTAATGAGCTTCTGCCTCGAAACGGTGATTAGTTTTATTCTTGCACCAGGCAATTGATGTGCTCTAAGCAGTGACTGTTTATCGGTGGGATGGGGAGGAACACGTGGCGAGATTGAGTGGTACTGGGTTGGGATAGGATTACACTCCAGAGGTTCGTGCTTTGTAAAGGCTGAGCCTGGCGGAGGAAATATATTTACAAATTCCATATCCCTTTTGCTTTTTAAATAGCCTTCATTTGCTCAGTAAGGTGCCAATACTTCACGATTCTGGGGATGAGGAGATTAATAGAATGCGCACCAAAGGAAAGTAGAGGCGTCGATCCGGCGATTTCGCATCGGGATGGGTGTTATGGCTGTGTCAATACTACCCCCCTCCCCTCTCGGAATTCCCACTTCAGGTTTCTTCAAAACCTTCACCAAGTTTTCAATACTCTATAAACGTCAATTTTAACAAAAAGAAGCTTGGCCATTCAAGCGGAGTCCTACTGCCGAGGCCACCAGGAACTCAACTGATTATGAAGCTATTAGAATTAAACACCCGCATGGTTTATGCTACTTGACTTCTGCCTGGTGGCGCCAACGCAGAGTGAGGGTAGGTATAATGAGTCATCGCTGAGACAATGAATAATCTATCCACCTCGAGAGTATTACCTTCATAGTCTCAGAACCAAATTTCCCTCACGCCATAATCTGAGCGCCTGCCTACCGAAACATAGTTTAATCAGTCCTCGAGTGAGATTTATCCGAGCTATGCTATACCCTTACTCCGACTGCTGGCGAATCGGAAGAGAAGAATAGGAGAAATCAAGAACAGGAATGGGTTATCGGATCGGTTCGAGGAGAATAGGAGAATCGAGATTAGGAGGTAGGATAGGGTATCGTAGGATATCAGATTCTGTTGTCGGCGAACTGAAGGAATGAGATAATTTGGGATTAGATCGATTTTCACAATGTCCGCTGTTGACGAGTATTCCTCTAACCTGCCATTCTTCTGACTCGCTAGTGACCTGACCATGAGTTTGCGATTCCCATCTACTCTTTTAGCGCAAGCGTTTCCCCTGTTCTCGCATTCGCCTATCCCCTAAGATCACCACCGATACCTGTACTTTGCTTCTTGCCCGTCAATTTATAGGTCTAGTGTTTATCATCTTCGAATCTCCACTTGGCGCGATAATTTGGCACTCGGCCTAAAGTGCTAGTAGGGTGCTATATAGTGGGGGAAATGGCGAAAAAACGGATTGAAACGATTAAAAACCCGCGCAAGAAAGAGTCGTTTCATTGTTTAGTGACTCAAAATCAATTTCGGTTTACCTAGTTTCTCGCATAGAGAATCTTGCCAATGGCCGTCTACTGAAAATGCGGCTTGATTGTGCCGCTGGTAATCTCAATCATATCTTCCCCTGCAGCACGCGAGGTAACGCTTCCATTAGCCGAATCCCTGTGCGCCTTACTTTATTTTGTTGGCAAATTGAGTCAATTACGAGCGTTTCGCGGTCGTGCGCTCGTCCATTGTGGGCGGGCGGCCGTAGTGGGCGTTCGGGCTGCGTATTTGTAGCTTGATAGAGCCCTTATAAGGGTCCCTTCCTTGGAGGAGGCTTTACGCAGCGCCTCCTTAGGGTCGCGGAATTCTGTCCTGCCAGGCGTATTGATCCTACCCGCCTTGAAGGATTTATCGTGCCAGCTGCCTTTAAGCAAGAGAAAGAAAACACGATACTCAATCGTTTTTTTAGTTTTCCTTAGGGCTAGCTTTTCTGCTGCAAATAATTTCATTTTCTAGGCTCTATCGCTTGTCTCACAGTAGGGACGATTCAGCCATTTGGACGTGATTGACTAGTCTCAGGAAGTTTACGGAAAAACCGCCGGCTGGATATAGTGAAATACTAGCTGAGCAGACATTATTGTAAAATCTCGAGTCGAGGGTAAATTATTCCCGTCCTATGGAATTATTGGACGATTTTGTCCCCATTTCGCTGGTTGTCCCTTATAAGGTGTGTTATTGTAAACAGGTATCCAGAGTCTTTTGATACGTTAGGTCCTTTAATATGTAATACTACCTCAATCTTACGAGTTGAACCGCTCGCTATTGGAAATTCTGCACAATAGATAAATATTGATCCATTTCTCAATTATTTGTATTCATTTAGTTCCATAATCTCATGATCCAGTGAGGCCATTTCCAGTTGCGGGTAAGGGACGTTAAGTCAACTTACGGCAAATGGCAAGGGTTCAGTAGCGGTATTGTTTTCATAGTTAGGTGACTCACTGGATGTGCAATTCCGATCGTTACTGGGTCTTGATGCGAACACACGCAGTTGCACCGCTCTTGCAACGAATCACCTTCGTGGCTCGCCGCTAATGCTTTATCTACACTCCTTATCCTGAGATTGCGGTGGGCGTTGGCTATCTGAACATGCCACTAGAACGATCCGTGGCTATTCCAGCTTGAGACAAACTGTCATTTTGTTCCGTGTGGTGGACAGATTCAGGGCAGGCATCGCATGTGATTGATCACAAGTTTTGGGCCGGGGTGTTCGTATTGACGCGAGGAGGGGGGGGTTTCCGAAGGGGGGGCGGCGGGCCGTATGTTGAATTGAGAAATTTGTTTTTGCCATACGTTGTATTGTTCCTCGTTTCACTGACGCTATAAGCGGGGGGGTCGCGTCGGTATTTGGTCGCTTGTTTGGCGGAGGGGAGGAGGTGTTCATGTGGTCGTTGGAGAGGGACTGACAAAGATCTATACACATTCTACCTATTCCCGATAGTCACAACGGATAGGTTAATTTTTGTTGTTGACGGACCTCCCTCGTCCCGCCCCCCGCCCAGAGTTTTGGGGAAATTCAGAGACTTTTACGGGGAATTCGAAAAACTGGGTAGGAGGTTATAGTAAATCGAAAATCTTCTTCGCAGTTAGGTACAGTCTCCCCGGTTCTCCCGCTGCTGCTGGTAGGTGGTTAGGGAAAATCTGAGAAATTTCCTGTTTCACATTGGGTACACCACCCCCCTCCGCTCGACGGAAAATTCTTGGCTGAAAAACTGGAAATTTTTCGGGAAAAATGGTAGGAAGTTGGGAAAATCTAGGAAAGTGGTAGGTAGCATGGAAGGGGGTCGTATTTGAGGATGGAATTAGGGGGGTCGTATTTTCAGGAAATGATCACAACGCGATGGCGTGCCTTGGGACAGAGACATGAGCACAATTGTGTCGTAATGAAATATCTCACCAAAAGCGCAGCGTTCAGTTGAAGTACGCCGCCACGCCCACCACATCTCATGGTTTCGATGCCCCCCCTCCAACACGTTACCAGCGCTACCTCAACTAATGTCAACTAATAAGTGAAGCGAACTTTTGTTCCCTCATTCAGGAGTATTGAACTGAGATGGTTCTCAAATATTTATTAGTAATATCAAAATAGAATTTCGAAATAGTTTACAAGCACGTGCATATATAAAATATTTTTCCGTTTGTTGTGTCTCAAGTGAGACATCTGAAAACTATTGGAAAGCGTTCAAGAGTGGTCGGCGACGTCTAAGCTCCGTTCATAGGTGACATCTTGAAACTTTTTTCTACGTGCGGGTACAGATTCCATGTCATGGTCTGCAAATAGACATGTGTTAGGTTTCAAATGAATTTTCAGAATTGCCAAGGTGTGATTGTGGAATTTTTTACAAGAACTTACAGTTATCACTTCGTATTTGACTGAGATCCACTGCTGAGTAATCGTCTGAAAACAATGGCATCACAAGCATAATACCAAGAAGGAAACACTTGAAAGACAATTCATGTTTAGGACCATAGCTCAGTGGCGAGAGCTGCCCAATATTGCAATTGTACGGATCGAGGGGAACAAATCCCCATTGGGCCAGGTTTGAGCCTTCGTATGTGTGCGAGAGCGCTGCACAGAAGTACAGAAACTTCGACGCAGCTCTGACCCTTCTCCCCGACTATCTCTGGCTACAGTCATGATCCCTACGAGAGATGTGACGGGGCGTGGATTAGAGCGCTGTTAAGGCGGCCTGTCCATCCGTGATTACCTGGGTCCGCAACTATTGGCGGGAAGAGCTGTTATGGCTGCAATCTAACCCAGGCCCCCTTCCCTATCAGTTGCAGGGATCATGACTATACACTTCACATCCCATCGATGGAGTGGGCGTGGCTAGGTATTTAAAGGCAGTTGGCACGATGGTTTCCTACTTAGCCTAAAATGCTAGTAGGGCGCTGTATAGTGGGGAAATGGCGAAAGAACGGAGTGAAACGGTCAAAATCCTGCGAAGAAAAAGCCTCCGTTCTCAGTGACTTGTAAATCGATTTCGGACGAGTTTCCCGTAGGCATCTTGCCAATCACCGCTACCGAAGATACGGCTGCATATGTGTAC